TTTTTGGAATTAGGGGCCAAAAAAGGGAAAAAACAAGCATTTTTCTAGTTTCATGACAATAACTTGTGTGTAAGTGTATGGATCTTTCTGAAATTGTACTACAAGGTTATATATCACAAAGGGAAAGCTGGAATTGAGTTTGGGGGTAATTGCCGAAACGTTTAGGAATTGGGGACCAAAAAGGGGCCAAAAATAAGCATTTTTCTAGTTTCCAGACAATAACTTGTGTTCAAGTGTATGGATCTCTCTGAAATTGTACTGCAAGGTACCATACCACAAAGGGAAGGCTGGGATTAATGATGGGGGTAATTGCCTCAATATTTTAGGAAAAAGGGGCAAAAAACAAGCATTTTTCTAGTTTCAGGACAATAACCTGTGTGTAAGTGTATGGATCTTTCTGAAATTGTACTACAAGGTTCCATATCACAAAGGGAAAGCTGGGTTTCAGTTTGGGGGTAATTGCCCTAAACGTTTAAGAATTTGGGGCCAAAAAACACAGTTTTCTAGTTTCCAGACAATAACTTGTGTTCAAGTGTATGGATCTCTCTGAAATTGTACTGCAAGGTACCATACCACAAAGGGAAGGCTGGGATTGAGTTTGGGGGTGATGAATCATAAGGGGGTTCAAAAAATTGGGGGGGGGGATTTTTGTTTTTTTCCTTTTTTTTGTTTTTTTCCTTTTTTTTTTCTTTTAAAATTTTCCATTTTAAGTTGGTTATTTCTGATTTATATTTAAAAGCAAATAATAATGATATGGTAGGAGATACACACCAAACAGGATGTGTAAATTATTATATAATAAGTACTGTGCAATAGCAAGAAATTTTCAATTGCACAGTATTGCACAATAGCAAGAAATCTTCAATTGCACAGTATTGCGCAATAGCAAGAAATCTTCAATTGCACAGTATTGCGCAATAGCAAGAAATATCCAATAGCACAATATTGCGCAATAGCAAGAAATTGTCAATTGTACAGTATTGCGCAATAGCAAGAAATATTTAATTGCACAGTATTGTGCAAAAGAAGATACTTCGTATAAATTGCTTATTTCTTGACCAATTTCAATGGGGTTTTATTCTTGAATTCTTGGGTTTCTTTAATGTGCTGAATCTAACCGTGTATTTAGTTTTTGGATTTTGGGCCCCGTTTTTAAATTGGTCCACATTGAGGTCCAAAGGGTCCAAAATTAAACTTTTGTTTGATTTCATCAATAATTGAATTATTGGGGTTCTTTGATATGCCGAATCTAACCGTGTATTTAGATTCTTAATTTTTGGTTCCGTTTTCAAATTGGTCTACATTAAGGTCCAAAGGGTCCAAAATTAAACTTAGTTTGATTTTAACAAAAATTGAATTCTTAGGGTTCTTTGATATGCTGAATCTAAACATGTATTTAGATTTTTGATTATGGACCCAGTTTTCAAGTTGGTCCAAATCGGGGTCCAAAATTAAACTTTGTTTGATTTCAACAAAAATTGAATATATGGGGTTCTTTGATATGCTGAATCTAACCATGTATTTAGATTTTTGATTTGTGGGCCCCGTTATCAACTTTGTCCACATTGAGGTCAAAAGGGTCCAAAATTAAACTTTGTTTGATTTCATCAAAAATTGAATTCTTGGGGTTCTTTGATATGCTGAATCTAACCATGTATTTAGATTTTGGATATTGGACCATAATAGGTGAATGTCCAATTTAAAATTTTAAAGTTCTTAGACCACATTCATTCTGTGTCAGAAACCTATGCTGTGTCAAATATTTAATCACAATCCAAATGCAAAGCTGTATCAAGCTTGAATGTTGTGTTCATACTTGCCCCAACTGTTCAGGGTTCGACCTCTGCGGTCGTATCAAGCTGCGCCCTGCGGAGCATTTTATTAATAATGAAAATGATGACGTTCTAAATTTCAATCCTTGTGTTGTCAGTTTTTTATGCCCCAACTAGGGGCATTATGTTTTTAGGTCTGTCCGTCCGTCCGTTCGTCCGTCTGTCCCGCTTCAGGTTAAAGTTTTTGGTCAAGGTAGTTTTTGATGAAGTTGAAGTCCAATCAACTTGAAACTTAGTACACATGTTCCTTATGATATGATCTTTCTAATTTTAATGCCAAATTAGAGTTTTGACCCCAATTTCACGGTCCACTGAACATAGAAAATGATAGTGCGAGTGGGGCATCCGTGTACTATGGACACATTCTTGTTTTTATACGCCCGTCAATTTTTGACGGGACGTATTATGTTATACAAATGTCCGGTGTCTGTCCGTCTGTCTGTCCGTCTGTCTGTCCGTCCGTCTGTCTGTCCGGCGTAAACATGTCGCACCGTAACTTGAGAATGACTTATCCAAATTTCATGAAACTTAACATAGTTGTTTCTTATGATGGTCAAACGATCTGTATACTTTTTGGTGAAAATAAGATTAAAACTTTTTGAGTTACGGGACTTAGTAACTAAAACAGGTGTGTGTTTTTTTTCACATGTCGCGCCGTATCTCAAAAACAATTTATGATTATTGCTTAAAACTTTACACACTTCTTAGTTATATTAATCTTAAGATCTGTATACTTTTTGGTGATGATTCAAAATTTTATTTTAGAGATATTGAGTATTTTGTTAAAAAAGGGGGAGGGGTTTTTCACATGTCGCACCGTATCTCAAAAACAGTTTATGATTATTGCTTAAAACTTTACACACTTCTTAGTTATATTAACCTTAAGATCTGTATACTTTTTGGTGATGATTCAAAATTTTATTTTTGAGTTATTAAGTATTTTGTAAAAAAAGGGGGAGGGGTTTTTCACATGTCGCGCCGTATCTCAAAAACGATTTATGATTATTGCTTAAAATTTTACACACTTCTTAGTTATATTAATCTAAAGATCTGTATACTTTTTGGTTTTGATTCAAAGTTTTATTTTTGAGATATTGATTTTTTTGTTTTTTTTAAAGGGGGGTTTTCACATGTCGCGCCGTATCTCAAAAACGATTTATGATTATTGCTTAAAATTTTACACACTTCTTAGTTATATTAATCTAAAGATCTGTATATTTTTTGGTTTTGATTCAAAATTTTATTTTAGAGATATTGAGTTTTTTGAAGAAAAAAAGGGGGGTTTTCGCATGTCACGCTGTATGTCAGAAACTATTTATGCTTATTGCATAAAAATTCACACACAAGATGACGTGCGTATCATGCGCTCATGGCGCAGCTGTTTATTAAATTTATGATTTTAGATTGTCACTGTGTTTCTTCTCTGTTAAAAGGGTTTTAAAAAAGGTTACATTTTAGGCTAAAATCACTTATCCAAAGTTGTGATGGTTGTCTATATATGAATGTCTTAAAGACTTGACAAGCCTGTATAAAGATTTATTATTGAAAATGAGATAAAAAAAAATGTCCGACTACCTGAAGCCAAAAAATGGCTGGATCACAGCACCGACAATGCTTTGATTTAAAATTTCATGCTATTTCACCGAAATATTGCAAACCTGAATATATTTGAAATAGGGTTGTACCATGAATATTAGTAGGCAGAGCAAGTCATATTCAGTGTTTTGGGGAGCTTTTTCTGACTTCTTCTTATTTCCTATATTGGGCTATAAAAGAAAACTTTTTCCTAAGTAATTCTTTAAGAAATATACAGTAATAAGTAAATGAAATGTTTTTGATGCAGAAACATCGTATTATTCACTAAAAAACTATATATATATGTCCCTCTCTGGAACGTGGCGTAAACTTAAGTTTTACGTAAGGACTTTTTGAAACCTCCATGGAGTCAGTAAACTTTTATATGGATAGTTCATTCAGCTTGAACACTTCAATTACTCATTTATTATGACATTTCTTACTTAAATGTGTGAAAGTTACCCCAAAATTTTGATTTATAAGCCTATGAAGTTAAAATGTTTAGAGAATGAGAGGTATAAATGGACCAAAAGGGACCTTATAATGAAAACAAAGAGGTACATTAGTGGTGTTTATCATCTTAGATAATCTTTTGTATCATATTCAACTGTTTTTATGCAGATGAGATGAATATTTGATCATTTATTGGTGAATTTATTGGTCCACACTATATTCTATCATGATGCGCCGTGATTTGGATTTTTCAAAGAAATTTTGCTCAAATCTCTGTAGATATCGTTATACATTATACTAAATTACTCTCAAACTATTCAAATGATTATGACAAAACTTGACAGTATTGCTTGAAATAACCAGTATTTCACAGAAAAAATAATAACATTAGGTTTATTCAACAAAAATGTCTTCTTTATATATATATACATGAACACAACAAATATAGCAATTCGAGACTTAAATTCCTTCCCTTTTATGTCAAACAATCCATCTTGAAGTACAGAAAGTCCTCAATTTTCAGGCTAGTACATGAATACATGTATTAATAAAAAAAAGGAAAAATTGGCACTTTTTTTTCTTATCAACGTAAGTATTAGAAATATTGTAGACTTATAGAGCTCTCAATTTGTGTAAAACTATCCATCCTGAGGGTACAAAAAATACAGAATTTAAATACTGTTAAACAATAATCAAGAAAAGGGGAAAATATTGCCTCCTTATATAGATGATAACAAATATAGCAATTTGAAACTTAAATTCCTTTCTTTTTATGTCAAACAATCCATCCTGAGGTTATAAAAGTACTCAATTATCAGGCCAGTACAAGAATATTAATAAAATAGAAGAAATATTGGCACATTTAATTGTTCTTAACATAAATGTTAATAATTGAAGATTCAAATGGCTCTCAATTTATGTAAAACTATCCATCCTGAGGTACCAAAATAACAGAATTTTAATGCTGGTACATAATAATCAAGAAAAAGGTAAAATATTGGCACCTTATATGAAAATTTTACCCTTTATTGCTCACAAGCTCTTTGATTATTATTTTTTCCTGATTCATTTGCTACATGTATCTTGGGGATGCTAATTTTATATCAAGCTGATATAATGTGCACTCTCCTTCTTATATAGACTCACTATAAAGATGAAGAAGAGCAGGTGGTTATGTTTAATGGAGCTGATTTTTGTGATGAAGAAGATTTGACAGCTGGTGATAGTGAAGAAGAGGAAGATTCCAAAATTCATGGGTAATTTGAAATATTTATTATCAATATACAAAACTGAACAGATGGCAGTTTCAGGTAGATCAATTTTTTATTGCCATCAATTATGTGACAACATTTTGTCTTTGAAGTAGCTTGGGTTCCTGGCCAATCTTTGCTTTGCATTGTAAGTAAGCTAGGATAACAGTTTCATTCTTGTAGACTGATTGATTACCTTCGTTAAGATCCTTGTTTACATGAAAATACAAATGAACTAGTTTTTTGGGTTTTTTTCATTCTTATTTGAAGATAAAATTTAAATATGTTGCCTGTTTTTATTTGATATTGAAAATAGGTAAATTTGATTTAACAATCCTTGGTCAATATATTTAAGTGAATTGAATTAAAAATGCTACTGTCCTCCAAATGACTGACTAACAGACAGTGCTCGAAACTAAAGGTAGCCCAATCGCCACAGATGACCATTTACCGATTTGGACCACCAAATTTGATAAAATATGAACAGTTACTGACCCAAATAAATTCAAGTCGGGCGACTTTCTGCAGTTCGTGTTTTCTGTAATTTCCCTTTGGTAAAAATATCTTTCTACTGTTTCCTGCTTAAGAATCAGACTTCAAATAATATTGTTGTGCTAAAGAAATGAACCTGATACCAGTGTCATCCAGTGATAGTGACCAATAAGATACGTTTGTTTTCGTGATAATAATAGAAACCAATAAGAGGCCTTGCTGCTCATGACGTCGCATGCTGTATTCGTTACCTCTCTAGACCTAACTCTTACAACAATGACCGCCGCTTCTTGAAATTTTTTAAGAGCTTACATCAGAACATTTTTCGGCTAATGAATTTGTTACTCAATGAATATTGCCTTTAGTTAATGTTTCATCCATTTATTGTATTAAAAACTTAATATTTCTTTCCAAATCGTTGGTCAAACATTGTTTGTTTTGTACCTTTTTCTGCGTCCGCCATTGAAATATTTATACTAATCACGTATCGGAGGTGGATCAACTATGACCAAAATCATTATTTTGTGAATTTATATGGAATGGAAAACCAGACAGAATTAACACACTTATTGGTGATATTTCACAAGGTGAACTTAATATGGTACATCTTCATTCCTTTAATATCTATTTAAAAATTAGTTGGATAAAAAGACTGCTATCAAACCCGGGTGGTGGCTGGCAACAGTTGTTACTGGCAGACCTTATACAGTATGGGGGTGACAGGGTTTTACATATACAGAAAGAAAGGCTGATTGAAATTTCTAAAAGATGTAAAAATTCTTTCCGATGGATGTTCTCTACTCTGCTTTTCAATTGTAAAACCTAATACTGAGATTTCTGTCAGTGACATTTTATCCTTAGATATTTTGAGCTTTTCTTCTTTGAATGATTTCCCATATAATATTCAATGGAAACAGGGAGGTGTGCAGTCAGTAAGTGACCTTATTAATCATGAAAATATGTAATTTGAGCAATTTCAAGAAAGAGTGAAAATCAACAATTTTATCAAATATTATATAAAAATAATCCCTAACGCTTTGAAAAAATGCCTTAAAGAGAACTGTTTAAAGCAAGATTTGGATAAGCCTAACACTGGAGAAACATTCTTAAAGAGAATTATTTGTAATGTGAAAGCCAAATTTGTATATAAAAATTTAGTAAATGAAGTTAGTCAACTACCACCAGTCAAATTTTTGAAATGGGAAGAACTGTTGGTTATTGATACAACAGAATGGTCAGAATATTTCATGATAACCAAAAAGTCCTGTAGAGATGTTTTTTTAAGAACATTTCAATACAAATGTTTGCATAGAATCATAGCAACTGATACCTTTTTGTACAAACTCAAATTAAAATATACCAAGTTATGTACTTTTTATAAACTTGGCAAAGAAACCATTGAACACCTATTTTTAGAATGCCCAATAACTTTTCAATTGTGGCAGTTTTTTTCAAATATTGTAAAACTTTTTTTGGTAAAATTTGTTCTCAACAAAGAGAATGTGTTCTTGGTTGCAAACATGAAAGTTTATTGTTGAATCTGTTAGTCATAATTACAAAGAATTATATATATAAATGTAAATTAAATGAAAGAAAAGAATAAAGAAATACCAATTTCTTGAATATTATATTGCAAAGAAAAATAATAAAGTCCAAGTTTGTGAAAAAATTTGGTCTCCTTTACATGTAATATTTAACTAAATATTTTTTCATATTATCTATTTTTTAGTTATGTAAAAACAAAATAGTTATATACAATGAGGAAAGTTATGCTTGTCTTTAAAATAATTGTTTTAAAAAGTAAGTCAAGATACATATTGTAGCAAAACAGGTGAGTGAAAAGTAGTTGTATTGTATGAGAGAAAGTCAAAGAGAGAGATTAATCAAATAAAATTTATATGTAACCTTAAATACTATAATTGTAAAAATCAATTAGTCAGCAATACATATTGTATACTGCATTATTTTCTATATTTAACTCCTTGATACCCCTGTCAGGTGGTAGTGTAGGGGGTATGTAAAATCCTGTATTGAAAAACAAATAAAAGATAAAAAAAAAAAAAACTATGACCAAAATCCGTATTCTTACGATGATAACTATAGACACACAAATGGAACAGCTGACAGAAAAATAAACGATCCCAATAGTAAAAAATACTCTTTCCACACGCTTTAACAGACATTTGGCTAGATCTCCTTTAATTACATGTAAATGTATGTTTCCATTCAATTGATTGATTTAAGCTGCTTAAATTTGTTTAATTTATATATCTTTTTAATGAGAAACAATGAATTACATCAACAGAATTTTGATGAATAAGTTATTATTTCTTATCCTTTTTAATTTACAAACAAATGTCTTTAATATTGATGAGGGGGGGAGTCAATAGGGGCTCCGTTAACATGTTAACAACACCTCGATTTTGGCAAAAACAGTTAACAACAAATATAAAATGCTGCTAACAGTTAACACCAACTTTAACTGAATAACAGATAACAGTGGTGTAAAAACTTCAATAACACTTAACAACCATTTTGAGAAATCGAACAATGTTAAGGTATTTGATTGTTCTATCCGATTTTGAAGAATTTTCAAAAGAAAACGGCGGGTGTCTTGCAAAAAGCAGGAAATGCTCACCCTTTCAAAGCACCTGAGTTCACTCCATTTGTGTTCATGTGTTGTATGTACTTTTAGTGTATTGTGTACACCGTTTGTCCTATATATATGCTGTCTTCTTGTTGTCTCGGTTTTGCCCTTTGTCCATGGATTTCCCTGAAATGTTCCAAAGTTTTTGAATATTGATTGACTTAAGGGGCATTAGCTGTCAAATTCTTGTTCACCGATTTGACTCAAATTCTCATATTTGATTTATAACATACTAAAACGTATATCCAAATTACAATAAGTCTGACATAAACTTTTAACAATGCATAGACTCGATAACATATATCAGCATTCCGTGTGTATTTTAGTCTAGACGCCATCTAATTAACCATCGAGCTGACCTCCGAAGACTGCCGACGGTCACATATCCCGATATATAAACATAAATATAAATAGATAGCGACCTCGTGCATTTGGACTTTTCTAGGTCTGTTTGATTTCATGTTATAGGTTAAAAAATAAGTTAATCATCGTTTTTACCTGTATAAGAATGATTTTTGGTGAATCGAATCAGTCAACGTAATGGTTCACCTTTGTTTCACTTTCAATGTTGACATTCTTTTCCTTTTAATGACTGAACACGACTAATACATGCGTAACCAATCTCTAGCTAATAGCTTAAATTGAAGGTCAAATGAATACGGATTCAATGAGGTCGAATTATTCTCTTACAAGTTAATAATTCATCAGCGATGTTTCTTAGCTTATTTTGACAAAATTGAACTAAACTGGCTGCTAAAAGCGAATTATTATTTCACTTTCATTAGTGATTGAACAAAAAAAAATCATATTTTATTTTTTTTTTATATCTCGTAGCTAATAGAATTGAGAATGGAAATGGGGAATGTGTCAAAAAGTCAACAACCCGACCAAAGAGCATAAAACAGCCCAAGGCCACCAATGGGTCTTCAACACAGCGAGAAAATCCCGCACCCGGAGGCGGGCTTCAGCTAGCCCCGAAATTAAAATGTGTACTAGTTCAGTGAAAATGGACGTCACACTAAACTCCGAAACATATAAATGAACTAAAATTAAAAAAACATACAAGACTAACAAAGGCCAGAGGCTCCTGACTGAAGACAGGTGCAAAAATGCGGCGGGGTTAAACATGTTTTGGGAGATCTCAACCCCTTTAAAGATCTCCAAAGACAGTTACATATATGCTGTTTATGTTACTCCTTTGAGGGAGCACCGTAAAGAAAGAGATTAACAGCAAATTTAATGTGATTAGTGTCACTGTGAATCTTTAAAATTCTTTTAAATAACAGTTAACAGAGATAAATTATGTCAAAAACAGTGAACACTTTAAGTGTCAAGTAACAGATACAACATGTTAGAGGAATCCCATTTTCATATAAAACAGTTAACAACATTGCCAATTTTAACAGAACAAATAACAGACAGTGGATTGAAAACAGTTAACAGTTTATATGTATTTCAAATAACAGTTAACAACACCTTGAAAAAGCCCAAAACAGGTTAGCAGAAAAAGGTATTGCCCCCCTCATTGATAGATTGTTGGTAGTTTCTTACAATTGAAAAAAATATGCTTGTGTAACTTCATGTATGAATGACAATTTAAGACATAAACTGAGACAACTGTTACTTTAATTGTATTCTAATGTAGAATTGAAAAAAATAGAATGCAAATGGCCCTTTTTATTTTTATAAAAACTAAAAATTATAGCGCCACAAGCAAACAAGCATTTCTCTTTTAAGCTTCGCCACTTCTCCCTATTAGTTTCAAAAAGAGAAGTAACTTCTCCCTATGATTCTTGAGTAGTGTGAGCCCTGATTTAGGCTATGAGTTAATAAGTTATCATTTCAAGATGTTGGCCTTTCATTAAAT